CTTTTAAAATTTATTAAAACCGGGCTGGGGTTGTAGCTCCGTGGTAGAGCACTTGCCTAGCTTGTGTGAGGCACTGGGTCTGATTCTCATCACCGCATATAAATAAATAAAGGAAAACAACTAAAAAAAGTATTTAAAAATTTTATTAAAACCTGTTTTATGGATTGATTTGTAACTTTATGTGCCATGTGCTCTTGAGAAGAATGTATTCTGCTATTGGGTAAAATGTTCTGTAGATGTCTTTTCAATATAATTTGTTAATAAATTATTAAAGTATTCTTTTTCCTTGTTGATCTTTTGCTTAGTTGTACTGTCCATTATTGAAAGAGGAGTTTTGAAGTCTCTGGTGATTATTGTTGAATTGTCTTGTTTCTCCCTGCAATTCTGATAGTTTTTGGTTCATGTGTTTTGAAGCTCCAGTTTTTAGGTGTTTACATGTTTATAACTGTGATTGCCTCTTTTTTTTTCTTTAAAGATCATTTTCTAACTTTTTTTTTAAGAGAGAGAGAGAGAGAATTTTTAATATTTATTTTTTAGTTTTCGGCAGACACAACATCTTTGTTTGTATGTGGTGCTGAGGATCGAACCCGGGCCGCACGCATGCCAGGCCAGCGCACTACTGCTTGAGCCACATCCCCAGCCCTGTGATTGCCTCTTGATGGATAGATAAATTTTATCATTACAGAATGTTCTTTTTTGTATCCAGTAATACTTTTTGTCTTACGGTCTAATTTGTCTGATATTGGTATATCTGATATGGTTACTGTTTGTATGTTTATCTCTTTGTTTCTCTACTTTCAACCTGTTTATGTCTTTGAATATAAAAAGTGTCTCTTGTAAACTATATGTAATTGGATCATCTTTTTTAAAATTGTGCCAACCACTGCCTTTTAATTGGAGTATTTAATACATTTACATTTAAAGAAGCTATTGATAAGATAGGATATTAGTCTGCCATTTTGCTTAGGGCCTTGCTTGCTAAGTTGCTGAGGCTAAGTTTAAACTCCCCCATTTTGCTACTTGATTTTCATATCATGTATTTTGATCCACTGTTCCTCAGTACTATCTTCTTTGTGTTAAGTAGATATTTTTGAATATACCATTCTAGGTTGTAAAATAAGTCAAAATAAAGCTTGAATGAGATTTTTAAATTGTCATGCAATACACTTAGCACAGTGCCTGGCACTTAGTAGGTGTTCAATAAACATGAGCACTTGGCTGGGCCCCAAGTGCTATAAGAACCCAGGCATCCCTAGGACTAGCTGGCAGAGTCCACCCAGGACTCTGTGGGACCCCTCATATCTTCTGGGCAGGGCACAGCATTCTGGCAGTAGTTCCTTTTGGGGACTGGTGAGTAGTGGGTCCTGGGAAACTTCACCATACTAGCTCCTGGTCCTCGATCCCTTCCCCTGTTTTGGGGGGCTGCTCTGTGGGATGTTCGGTGCCGGGGCCCCACCTGAGCTGCCTAGGAAGTAGTGCAGATTTCCCCTCCTGCTCCTCATTCTCCTGCCACCAGACCCATGAAAAACCCTGTCAGGGTGGGTCTTCCTGCCTACACTGAAGTTTGAGAACCACTGCTCAACACAGACATGGGTGAGCAGCAGAGTGTGATAGAGAGACCTGATTTGGAGTCAGCAGGTTTGGATTCAAATCCTGGCTCCTCATTGTGAGCTCTGTGAGCTGGGGTGACTTACTGCTCAGAGCCAGCCTTTCCTCATTTCTCAGTTGGGAATAAGTGGTTATATAAGGCAGCAATGCTCAAAACCTTGGGCATGCAGGTAGTGCTGGTGGCTACCGTTTCGTGTGGCAGTTCCTTGTTACAAGGTATTTCTGTGGTTCCTTCATCTCCCCTGCCCCATTCCTGGCTATGAAGTTCCTCCTGGACCCAGACACCTGGTTCTCTAACAAGCGGTCCACTGCCCTCTCCATTGGCCCACTGTACCTCCAGGCTCCGCTGCTTCCGCCTCGGGGTAGAAACAGAAGGAAATTGAAGAAGCATTATGGGATAGCGGTGGAACATCATGAAGATTCAGAGTGTCAACAGTATGTGCTAGAGGGCTGCCTGGAGGAGGCAGGCCTTGAAAGAAGGCTGATTGTTAGAATAGATTTGGGGGTTTCCAGGTAGAGAGAACAGCTTTGTAGAGGCTTAAAGTGTTTCTCTCCGCCCACTAGATTGTGAGCTTAGCATGGGCAGAAACTGTGCCTTGTCTCCTGTGTCCCTAGAATGTGGCCTGCAGCCAGCACCCAGCAAATGCTTACTGAATGGATGAAGGGCCCTCAGCAGGGCAGGGTGTGTGATGGGAGAAGGGACAGGGTGGGGCCATGTCAAGGGAGGCCCCTGTGACTGGCCTCCTATTGGCCCAGGGCCAAGGCTGGCACTAGGGCACTCAGGCATGGGCTCCAGAGAGCCGTGCTCTGGACCATCAAGGAAGCCGGTCCTTTCCAAAAGGGGAGGGGAGGGGAACTGGAGCAGCCTCTGGTGGCATAAACCCCCTAGGGAACAGAGGGCGTGGGCACAGACCTGTGATCCTTGGTGGCCCTTGCCTCGGAGGGAGGTAGCCAGTCAGTCCCTCCAGTGTAGGTAAAAGCCTAATCTGGAGGCTTGATCCTCTGCAAGCTTTGCCCACGACTGCGTTGCTTTCTGCTTCACCTTCCCCTTGGAAAAGGGACCTAGTTATCCAGGCCTCCCCTGGATACCCTGTGGGTGTTTGTGGGGCAGTGGGGGATGGAGATAGTAAAGGTGGGTGCCTGGATGGAGCCCTGAGTGTTTCATGAGGCAAAAGATTCCCCTCTCGCACGTATTTCTTTTAAAAGTATCTCAGGGTTGGCATTTTTACTGTCAAAGCTCGGACTACAGCCAGCTTGAACCCTGGCCAAACTTCTGAGCCTGACTAGTTTGATGGCTGAGGCCCCGGGGAGTCTTGCTTCCCCTGTTGGCCTGTACCCTGCATCTCTGAGCATAAGTTCAGTACAGGGATGGGGTGATCCAGAGACTGTGTGGATCACTATTGGGAATAGGCAGGTCACTGGCCTCCTGTATGTTCTCTCCTGCTGCTAGGGACAGTGACACTTGTGGCAGGCAGGTCCCTGCCCTTTGCCTTTGAGCTTCCTTCCTTATTGGAAGTCCCTTGAGAACAGGGCTTATATGTCCAGTGGTTTGGAGAAATGGGACCTTCTGGACTGTGAGTGAATTCCCAGTTGTGGTGGGGTAGAGGGCAAATGGCCCTCAGACAGCTACTGTGTCTAGAGGGAAAGTTTATTTAGGACCTGGGCAATTCTAGCTGGCCCAAGACCACTTACCCAGTCTGGCTGTAGCCATGGACCCCAGATAGCTGGGAGAGAGCCTTTTAGAACACGAGCCTGGACTAGGGGGCCAGCGGGGCCATCCTGGGTCCCTTGTCATAACCCTGTCAGATTGTCCTAGCTGGACCTTGGTGTTTTGAGGCCCAGGTCAGTCATGTCAGGGCACCAGGTAAACTGACCCACAGACTCTTGCTCCTGGCCATGGTTTAGGTAGGGGTGGGTGGGAAGTTTTGTGGCCTTTTTCCAAGTGGCCTACATGTGGTGTGGGACCAAAAGTTACAGTCCGGGAGCAGGTAGATCCTGGGCCAGACATTGGAAAAGGATTTGGGTTCACTTTACTGAGAGGGCCTGGGCTGCGAGGTTGGGGTAGGGTCTTGGGGCTGCACCTTTTCACATCATTCAGCCTTGTGGGGAGTGTGCATCATGGAGCGAGACTGGCCTTGGGAGCAGACAGGGGTCCGAGCCAGACACCTGGCTGTGAGTAGTGCCTCTGCCCAGGTATGCTCTGACTCACTTGGGTGCAGTCTTGAATGAGCATCCCATGAGGCAGTTATAAACAGTGTCAAGGCACAAGGTTCTGCAGACTGTGCCACGGAGTCCACTGTCTGCTGGGGACGGGGAAACAGGAACCTAGGATTAATGTGCTGAGGATGTGGGGGTGGGGTTAGGTGGTGTGATGAGCTCACATGGCAGCTCCTGTCTCAGCCTTGGGGTCAGGAAGCTTCGCAGAGGAAGCAGTGTCTGAGCCCTGAAGGATGAGCAGGACTTGGCTAGATGAGAAAGGAGGGAAGGTCTTGTAGGCAGAGTTCAGCCTGGCCAGAGACCTGGAAGCAAAGCGGAATAGCACATTGGAGGTCCTGACCATATGACCATATGACTCAAATGTGCCGTGTCTGGAGAGGTGGCAGAAGCCAAAGTCTGTAGGGATTTGTGGGCAGGGTAGGCAGTTTAGACTTTGTCCCAAGACAGCGTCTTTGATGCTTAGAAAAGTGACTCACCTGGAGTTCAGGGCCTTGTTGGATGCCTTGTTTGGGTCTCTCTTGCTCTTAGGTGGGAGATGGATGAGTCCTGACTCCCCTGCTTCCTAGTGCTGAGCTTGCAGGACTGGGGGTGGCCCAGATTTAAGAGCAGGATCTTGGAGCATTAGCTTCCAAGGTCCTGGGGGTGGAGGGGTTGGGTGGGGAGTATCCATTTGGCTCCAGCCCAGGTCAGAGCTGAGCCCCTGTGGCCGCTAGGCACCTCCTCTCTGCCTGTGTGTCCTTGACTCATAGCAGTCTTGTTTCTTTTTCTTTTCTTTTAAATAAATTTTAGTTGTTGATGGACCTTCATTTTATTTATTCATATGCGGTGTTGAGAATCAAACCCAGTGCCTCATGGATGCCAGGCAAGTGTGCTACCACTGAGCCACAACCCCAGCCCCGAGCAGTCTTATTTCTTAGATGAAACACTGATTGCTCCAGGTGGCTGGTGAGGGCCTGGTCCCCTCAGTGGCTACGGCCTGGTCCTCTGCCCTGTGGCAAGGGCTCACCAGACTCTCTTGGGTGGGCCAGCCAATGCTGGACATGAGCTGCTGCTGATGACACTTGAGAAAGCTTTGTGTTAGGGCTGTCATCCCTGCAGAGCATGGTGACCATGAACACAGAACATCCACAAGCCCTTACAGCACCTTCCCCTCAAATGTCTGCAACACCCACAGGTGGGTTCAGGGCAGCTTTTATTTCGTGACACACACTGCTTGCTTCTTGCTATAGATATTCCTGAAAGCATCACAGGTTCTGGGCCGCTGGTGCTGCCTCTTGCCTTGCCTTCAGCCCAGGGGGAACTGTGGGTCTGGTCAAGGATTGCTTGCAGTAGGAAGGGACGCGGGAAGAGAGCGTGACAGTCTGACAGATTGATAGAGTGGGATGCAGAGTCTGGGGCCCCATGGTGGCTGTGGGTTTCCTTTTACAGTGTTCCTGCATCCGTTGTCAGAGGCCCTGCATCTGGTCCCAGGGGTGAGCTGCCTACTGGGGTTCCTTCTTACACCCTCTTCCCTGTACCTCTGGGTACATAGGTCGGCAGCTTTTGCAGAGGGTGGCTTCCTTCCTCTTCCTCCCTGCAAGGAAGGCCAGGCTGACTACCATCTGAGGGACTGAGGAGTAGGAATGGAGCAGAAGAAATGGGAAGAGGTGGTTTAGTTCCGTCCCAAGTAGGCAGGGAGGTGCTAATGGGCTCACAGCTGGGAACCACCCCCATGGCAGCCAGAACTGAGCCAGCTGGGAGACTGCAGGAGCTAGAGAGCCCAGCCTGGTGGTCAGTGCTGCCAGAGGAAGCATCAGTGTCAGGCCTCCCTGCCGCTGGATCTCCTGTGCCTGCAGTCCCCTTTGTGGTGAGGTCCCTTCCCTGCCTTCCGCAAGACTGAGGGTCTCAGCTGTCTTGGGTAGAATGGGAGAGGGTTACCTGCCAAGGGATCAGGCAAGAGGAGACTTCCCACTGCCAATGAGGAGTATCTGTGTTAGCAGATCCTCACTCTGAAGGTGGTGGGGTGCTGGGAAATGAACCCGGAGCTTCCTGGAGGAGTAAGAGCTTGATCTTGGAGTCTGGCAGATCTGGCTTTAAGTCCTGGTTCTGAGACATAATTATGGGTGAACACAGGCAAGTTACTTAGCTTCTAGGAGCCTCATCTTCCTCACCTGCAGAAATGGAAGTTAAAATAGCAACACCAGCCTTATAAGGCAGTTGTGGGAATTAAAAGAATGCAAAGTACTGAGGACCTTAGTGGCATAAGCCCAGCATTGCTTTGTTGTTATTGCTGCTGCTCCTCAGTGCTCTGCCTCTTGGGTGGTCCCCTCCCCTCTTCCTCCCAGGTTCCCAGGCATTTTTTTACTCCTCTTCCCATCCCCCCAGAGGCTGGCCTTTCTTCTTTGGGGGCCCCAGATCTGTGAGTCTGTGCCCCTGGCACTGTGCTCTCTAGTGGGGGTGACAGGGAGGCCTTTGCAGCAGGAAGCTTTTGGGGATAATTCAACTTCCCCCAAACCAGGCTCCTTGATTTGTTCTAAGGCAGTGTCTGTCTCAGTATCCCCAACCATGGCCCCCTCCAAGAGCAGAATTAACGAGTAGGGTCCTAGCAGCTGAGCGCAGCCCCTCTGGGCTGAGTTCTGGAGCTCCCTGCACAGGCTCCACCCTGTTCCCCCACATCTGCCCCTGCCTGGGCCCCACTATCAGGCACACACTGGCACGCGCACCCAGGCCTGCCTGCCACGTGGGTCTTCCCTTGCTCCAGGTCCCAACCCCCAAGCCTGTGCTGTGGCTCGCTGGGCGACAGAGCTGTGAAGGGGGGAGGCAAGAGTGCATGTGAACGCTTCCCCCCTCCTCCCACCAAGGCACCAGGGCACATGGGCCTGCTGGGTGCCCCTGGGCCTGCTGGGTACCCCTCTGCCCCTCCCCTCTCAAACGTTCTTCCTTCCTCTGTCTCACTTCTGCACACACGTACTTCTAGTTCACTGGGCCTGAGGCTCCCTGGGAGAGGCACAGCCCCACAGTCCCACCCTGTAGCTTCACAAGCGCGTCAGGGTGAATTTCAGTCTGGGGACTGGCTTTTGGATCTCTGCTCTAAATTGGGCTGGCTGTCCGGGAAAGAGGGTTTAAAAGCAAGAGAAGGGTTTGTTTAAAAGCTTTCCATTCTTATCCAAATCCTCCCCCTCCTGCTGGGGGCTAGGGTGACTTGGATGCCCCCAGTCCCAGTCTTAATCCTCTCTGCAACTACCCTAAATGAAGACAAAGGAGATGCACCCTGAGAGGGTCTCTTACTGCCTTCAGGGCTCAGGAGCCCTCGGAGGACTTCGAGAGGGAAGTTACTCCTCTTCTGGATGCTGGGCGAAAGTGAAAGACAGGGAGTGGGCCTCCAGTGAGTCATGCCAGGCAGGCAGGCAGGCAGGCCCTGGGAGCCAGGGCCGGAGCTGCGGAAACGTGCAGAGGAGCGATAGCACCGAGACTCGCCTCAGAGAGGGGGCAGCACTGGGTGTAGGCAGGGCTTTGGATCCGCCCAGCCCCTGCTCTCTGCTGGTTTCCTGGGAATTGCCTGGGCTGCTACCGATGACCTGGAGCATACAGGGGCTGAGGTCACCTGGACCTGCAGATTTATTCTCCAGAGCGATCTAAGCTTTCTGCCTCTCCTTTCCCCGCCCAGCCTGAGTGACCCAGCATCAGAATATCCTTGGGGAAGAGGTGAGCATGTAGCTCCTACCCTCACCAAGTTTCCCAGGGAGAAAAAAAAATCTCACTGAGAGAGTTTTTAAAAATACATGCAGGCAGTTATGTAAATTGTAAAATGCAGGTCTGGATTCTGTTCTGTAGCAGCAGGATTAATAGAGAAGCCCTTTTTAAAAAATCAGGTTAGAGAGGGCTGAGGCATGTAACCCAATGCTACGCAGATGCAGATGCGTTGAGTCCTGGGTTTGATCCCCAACACCAAAAAAGAAAAAGGAAAAGAAAGAAAGATAGAAGAAAGAAAGAAAGAGAGAGAGAGAGAGAGAAAGAAAGAAAGAAAGATGTTAGCAAACAAAAAGAGAAAAACTAAGCACTTTAGTTATGACATCATGGAGAAACCTTATGCATCGAAGTTCTAGCAATCTGAACCTCACATATATGAGACTATTCTTTGCTCAGAGTGCTAGGGGCTCTTCAGCAATAGAGGGATAGGGTGGGGAGCAGCCCCAACCATGTTGACCAGCTTCTGGACTGGATTGGGCGTCCAGCCAGCCAGGGCTGCAAAACAGGTTTTGTGCTAATTGAGAAAGACTCCTGCAGCCAGAGCCCCACCCAGCAGCTCTTCCCAGGGGTGGGGCCTCACCTACAAGCCTCTTACTTTGAAGGATTGTGAGCCTGGCCTGGGTGCTGGATTCTGAAGGCATGGTGGGGATGCATAGGAGGTGTGGCTGTGCTGGAAATGACCCCAACACACGCACTTCCTGTGTCTGGTATGTGCTTGGAGTGTCGTGGAGGAGGTATTGGCTGGATAAAGATCCTCTTGGATCTGGAAGGAGGCTTTTGTATAGACAGATGAGCAGTGAGGACTGGTGCCCCTGCCCAGTGGGCTGAGGCCTGGGTTAAGAGGGCAAAGGAGCCCTGTTTGGCCTCTGTTGCCCTTTTTCCCAGCATGCCCCAGGGGATCACAGGATGGATCCCAGCCTCTCTGTTCCTTCAACATGTGCCTTTGTAAAATGCATATGTTATACAATCAAATGCAGCAGCCCTGGAGCTTAACCAGGAGGTGGTGAGACAAGAGTACCTCGGAGAGGCTGTGATCCTGCAGCCTTACCTGTGCTGCTCTGTGACACAAGGACTAGAAGGCCTTCGGGGCCTCTTTCTCACACTTGTGCTGATGTTCAGGGATCCTGTGACTGACGCTGTCACTCTCTTTTTGCAGGCTCCAGGACCCTGTGGAGCATCATGATTTGGGAAGAGTAGATGAGCCCAAGAGACTTTCTGGAAGAGAAAGGAGATGCCAGCTGTTCCCTCTCCCCGTGCCTGACCACATCATCCAGTATCATCAACCCCTGCTCTGCCCTCACTGGCTTCTGGACTAGGGCCAGCCTTCTAGCAGGACCTTTCCCTAGGGAATGGGCAACTGGTGAAGGAGGTCTCATTGCTGGGCTCCGTTGGCCACACCATGAACCTCCAGGCCCAGCCTAAGGCTCAGAACAAGCGGAAGCGTTGTCTCTTTGGGGACCAGGAGGCAGCTGCCAAGGAGCAGCCACCACCCCTGCAGGCTCCTCAACAGTCCATCAGAGTGAAGGAGGAGCAGTACGGTGAGCACGAGAGTCCAGCAGGTGCTGCCTCCACTTCCCAGCCCGTGGAGCTGCCCGCTCCTAACAGCCTGGCCCTGCTGAACTCTGTGGTATATGGGCCTGATCGGAACCCAACAGCCATGTTGTCCCAGCAGGTGGGCTCAGTCAAGTGGCCCAACTCTGTGATGGCCCCAGGGCGTGGCCCAGAGCATGGAGGGGGTGGGGGTGTTAGTGACAGTGGCTGGCAGCAGCAGCCAGGCCAGCCTCCGCCTCATTCATGGAACCGCCTGTCCCTCTACAGTGGACACAAAGGGAGCCCTCATCCCAGCGTGGGGGTCTCCACCTACTATAACCACCCCGAGGCACTGAAGCGGGAGAAAGTGGGGGGGCCACAGGTGGACCGCTATGGAAACACAGTGCGTCCCATGATGCCCCAGAAGGTGCAGTTGGAAGTGGGGCGGCCCCAGGCACCCCTGAACTCTTTCCATGCCAAGAAACCCCCAAACCAGACGCTGCCCCTGCAACCCTTCCAGTTGGCATTTGGACACCAGGTGAACCGGCAGGTCTTCCGGCAGGGCCCGCCACCCCCCAACCCTGCTGCTGCCTTCCCCCCACAGAAGCAGCAGCAGCAGCAGCAGCAGCAACAGCAGCAGCAGCAGCAGCAGCAGCAGCAGGCCGCCCTGCCGCAGATGCAGCTCTTCGAGAACTTCTACTCCATGCAGCAGCCACCCTCGCAGCAGCCCCAGGACTTTGGCCTGCCACCGGCTGGGCCACTGGGACAGTCCCACCTGGCTCACCACAGCATGGCTCCCTACCCCTTTCCCCACAACCCAGATATGAACCCAGAACTGCGCAAGGCCCTCCTGCAGGAGGCAGCCCCTCAGCCCATGCTACCTCAGCCCCAGATCGCCTTCCCCCGCCGATCCCGCCGCCTCTCCAAGGAGGGGATTCTGCCTCCCACCTCCCTGGATGGAGCTGGCACCCAACCCGGGCAGGAGCCCACTGGCAATCTGTTCCTACATCAGTGGCCCCTGCAGCAGCAGCCACCCAGCTCCCTGGGGCAGTCCCATCCCGAAGCTCTGGGATTCCCACTGGAACTGAGGGAGTCACAGCTGCTGGCTGATGGGGAAAGACTGGCACCCAATGGTCGGGAGCGTGAGGTTCCCGCCATGGGCAATGAGGAGGGCCTGAGGGCAGGAGGCACAGGGGACTGTGGACAGGTGCTACGGGGTGGGGTGATCCAGAGCACAAGACGGAGGCGACGGGCATCCCAGGAGGCCAATTTGCTCACCCTGGCCCAGAAGGCGGTGGAGCTGGCCTCACTGCAGAACTCAAAGGTGAGATGGGCATTGGGTGACAGACCTGGCAGGGGGCAGGGGATAGCAAGTGACACTAGGTCCACAAGGGCAGCCTTTTCAGTTCATTAAGGCAAGCAGTGACAGCTGGCCCCGCCTTTTCCTCTCTGTCCCGTATTGAACTTGAGTTGGAAGAGGCGAGTCTGTTCTCTGGAGGTAAATCCGCAGCCTAGTCACCTCCAGCTGCTGCTGCAGCCACACCCCTCGGGGAGGAGAGCGACCATCCAAAGGAACCAGGGGGTATGGGGGTGGCAGAGATGGTGGAATGAGACCGACATCCTTACCCTAGGTACATGTAGGATTGCACGAATGGTGTGACTCTACTTCGTGTACAACCAGAGAAGTGAAAAATTGTGTTCTATTTGTGAACTATAAACCGAAGTGCATTCTGCTATCAAAGTAATTAGAACAAATAAATAAATAAATTTTTAAAAAAGGAACCAGAGTAATTGAGGAAGCTATTTATTGGTGATCTGAGCTTTGATGGTAGTTCAAGAGAACATTTTGAGAAATGGGGCACACTCACAGATTGTGTGGTAATGAGAGACCCCCAAACGAAACATTCCAG